TTGAGGGCCAGAGGTGACCTTGAGGACATTAAGGTAACTCCCTGCTCTCCCAGAATGGTGACTTCTAGACACTTTGGAAGGAAGATTAGCTCAGATCCCCTCCAGCTCCTCCGAGGCTGGGACATACGTAGGTTACAATTCGTGGAATCATTTCAAATGCCCTTGCAACAGCTCTTGAGAGGGACCTGTGAGGGGTGGGTGGTTCTAAAGACATCTCTTCTGTGCTTTCAGATTTTCACATCAGCCGCGTTGTTGACCTGCTTAGTTGTCGACGCATATGCATCAGCACAGCTCAAAGTCTGGAGGCACAATTTTTAGAAGAAAATATGAACTCTGCCTGCATTCTTGGAATAGTTGTCAAGGGGGAGAATATCTTCCAGAAAAAGTGTGGTCTTTGGAGGAGAGGGAAAGAAACGGCAGTCTTGGGTCTTGCCTGAGGGTGATGCTGCTACCAGAAGTTCAAGGGGAAGAGCTCTTGGAGGGGCGGCCTGGGGAGTCATCTCAGGACACGATTTGCCCCGGCTCCCTTTGATCCTCAGCGATGTTTTTCACTTAATAGTTTAATCATTTGGCAGAAATGGGGAAGCTCATTCCTTCATGGACACGGTGAGCTTTCCAGGCCAGAGAATTCCATCACCTTGAATAATAGGCCCAGCCGCCCATGCCGACCTGCAGCTGGCGGCTTCTCTGGGACAGCTGAGGCCCCGCACCTGCTCTGTGGAGCCCGCGCTCCGGCCTGAGAACAGCCGAGCGTCTCAATCAGGGGGAGAAGTGCTGAGGCTTCTTGCCTTCGGAGGCAGAATGTTGGAAATGCAGCAGAGAGTCTGTCTTCTTTTCCAGGGGGCAGTGAGGTTATAGAAAATTCTGCAAATAACCCTGAGGAAACTTCTTCACATCTGCTTGGCCCTGTCCAGAAATTCTTGTCCATCTGGGGAGGGGCAAGAGGGAAAGAGAGTAGGGACAGTGTTTTGCTGAGACCTTGCAGCCATTTCTTAGAAAACAGCTCAGTTTTCCCAGGTCCTGAGAAATGGCAGGGTGGCAGGCTAGGATTCCACGCCTGGCTCAGGTCCCCTGACTTCAAAGAGCCAGAAAGCAGAAATGAGGGAGTTTGTGTCAGAGCCAGAAGTAAAACGTGGCAAAGTCTAGTGCTGTAAGAGCCTACAGAGGACCCTCTGCTTCTACTCTACAAGAAGGAGCAGGTGGGGAACCAATATTTAGGGCGAGTCTGCTCTGTCCTAGGCACTGTTTTCAGCACAATTCATATGTTCTCATGTGATCCCCACAACCCACCAGGGGCACGCTGTTATTACTCCTTTTATGGACTGAGGAAACTGAAGGGAGCGCCTCCCTCGAGGTGACACGGCGGGCAAGGGAGATTTGGGATTGCAGCCCAGGTCAGTCTCATGCCCAAGCCTGGCTCTTTGTGCAACATCATGAACAAAGAGTTCCTGAACTTTCAATTTTGCAGGGCTGGCGTACCCTGACCAACCTGTGGAGCATTGCAGAGTGGCCCCAGATAGAAGCAGCAGCAGGTAACCAAGAGTAGGGGCTCCTTTAATTAGAATTCCATGAAGGACCCACCCCCCCCACCCCCCCCCAGCCTCAGCTCTAGAGACAGAAACGCCTTCTAAGAGTCATCAATTGCACAGACTCTCCTACTCTGGGGGGCCGGGGGGCAGCAGGGGCTGTGTCTCCTCCATCAGGAAAGAGGAACAGGAGGCGGAATCCCTCCGGGCCCAAGGCAGCCTGGTCTTGTCTGTGCAGGCAGATTCATCACACTGGACAGCCCCACTACGGCCCTGGCCCTGGACATCCACCCGCAGGGGCTGTCAGTAATGTCTTGGCAGCCCAGCTCCAGCCCGCTGGCACACACAGAGCCCGGCCACGAAGCCAGCAGTGACGCTTTTATGATTCTGTTTGTCATTTTTCAGACCTAACCTCATCACTTCGTGGAGCTGAAAATCAGCCCTCTTGAGGCCCAAGGGGCGGCTGGCCTTCCTGCAGCCTGCTGGCCACCTGAAGATTTGCCTCTTGCTGACCACGCACATCCCAAACAGCTGGCACTTCCTTCCCAGATGACGTCTGAGACGACAGACCCCTGAGGGCCTCACACCCTGGCATTTTCATTGTTGCCGCTGTCATTTCTCAACTTTCCAGGAACTTGTACATTCAAATGCTGTACCCTGTTCCCCCCGTTAAAAAGATAACTTTGTAAAGGGTAAAGTCATGAGTCTCAGAAAATATGAAATGAACTCATGTCAAGTTTATTTAGCTCATCATTAAATAATGAGGAAACCGATAGTACGCTACAACTAGTTCAAAGGGAAATTCAAAGAACACACATATCCAGGCAAACAGGAATGCTGAACCGAATGTAGAAATAGGTGCAAAACTGGCCAATACCCACAGGGCAACAGTCAATGACACCAACAGACAAAACTCATGTGTGCTTACAGACAGGAACCATTCGCGTTGCTCTAACTTCTCTGCAACTCACGGAGTTGGCAAACGGCTCAAGGACAGTGAGGGTGCAGGCCCTGTGGAGAATCAGATAACCCTGGAGGGTGCACGAGACAGGACATCCAGTCACCTCGTCTGCCTATTTCAAATTCTTTCACAGTCTTTCCCGACACCCTCATGAGCACATTTCCCAAGCACCCGCACTAGCGCCCTCTGGAGCACACCCTCTAAGAACTTTTGTGCCGTGAGCCATTATGCCTACTGATTCTACGTTTATGTACTTTGGCTGCTTTCCTCCTCATTTCAGATGAGGCTCAGAGAGGCTAAGTGGCCTGCCCACTAGTCATAATGAGGTCTTCCAGCTTTTGAGCTCTTTCCCCAAGCATCCCCAGAGGCAGAGGGGCGTGAAGGCTGCTGCAGGTGTGAGGGGCTTCATTTTCGCTCATGTGAATTTTACGTTTTATTCCCTCATTCATCCAGGTTGGCTTAAACACAAAAACAGTGTTTTTACATCACTCACTATTTTGGGTTGAATTGTGTCCTCCAGAAAGATATGTTGAGGTCCTAACCCGCAGTACCTCAGAATTTCACCTTATTGGAAATAGGGTTGTTGCAGATGTAATGAATTAAATTTCGATGAGATCACACTGGAGTAGGGTGGGCCCTTAATTCAACATGACTGGTGTTCTTCTAAGCAGAGGGGAAGAGACACAGAAACACAGACACGTGAGGGAGAATGCCATGTGACCACAGGGGCAGAGACTGGAGCGATGGAGCTGCAAGATGAGGAATGCCAAGGATTGCCAGCAACCACTGGACACTGGAAGAGGCCAGGAAGGACCCTCCGCCAGAGCCTTCAGGGAGCACGGCCCTGCCGACACCTCGACTCTCAACTTATAGACCCCAGATCTATGAGAGAATCAATTTCTGTTGTTTCAAGCCATCCAGCTGGTGGTACTTTGTTATGGCAGCCCCAGGAAATGAATACACTCACTGTGGAGACAATAGATGCTCCAAGAAGTTCCAGGCCTGTCCTGTTCCTTTGAGGAACCCCCACCCCACCCCTGTTGTACCCATCGGTGTGGGAGTCTCCATCTAACCCACAGACCTGGAGAGGTGTGTGCTGATGAGCCCCCCGAACCCTTCCCCTCCAAAAATTCAGTGTTGGCTTTAAATGCTGGAAGTTGAGAGGGAAAAGCTACTGACATATACAAAGGCTTATCAGGTAGATGCTGAGGTATCCCCCAGAACTTGGACATGAGGGAAGCGAGGCTGCTCACTGAGCGCTATTGTTAAGACCATCACCCACGGTATTTAGATCAGAGATGTATAAGCTTGCTGGAAACATTCCCAGGCTTGGGAACTCTTCTCCAGGCTGAATTCCTGAGAATCTCCATGTACATCAGGATGAGGGCTCATCTATCACGGAATGGGTATAAGGAGAGGCACCGAGGTGGGTGCGGGCAGTGCCTCGCAGGGCAGGAGGAGGACTAGGCTGCAGACTTTGGGGCCTCCCCGCCCTATCGGTGGGGGCTGCGGCTTCCCAGCATGAGCCGCGCGCAGGGAGCCTGCGACGGGGTCTGATCCCGATGATGACGGCTGCAGGGAGCTTAGGGGTCAGGACATTGGGAAGATTCCGGTTCTGGAGACAAGGCAGTTTGATAGTGGAATGGCGCCACTTAGCACTCGGTCCTTCCACTCCTCCTTGTTCCACCCAAGCCCCTGGATGTGCCCTGCCAGCTCTGCCTGCGGAAGGAAAGGCGTGCCGGCCGGTCCTTCAGGGCCCTGGTCTCTCACAGCGGTTCGCAGAGAGCAGGTCACGTGGCTCCGGTCCTGAGCCCGGCTCCCTGCGTAGCCCTGATCATGCGCACTGTGCGCATTTCCGGTCCCCGGGACAGGAGTTTTCACGGCACATTGAGGCGCTGGGTTTCGACGTTTACCTTCATCTCATTTTCTGCCCGTTTGCGTGAGTCTGCCTGTCCGGGCCTGATGAAAGTCACGTCCCGCCGCCTCTTTGCAGACATGGTCTCTATACCACCCAGACGCCTGTCCTCTGCTGGCTTCTATACCGGGCACCGGGCCCAGCACTTCACATGCATGGTCTCGTTTTCATCTCCACAGTCCTGTGAATTAGGGACTATGCCTTGCTCTCCCCGAATTTCGAAGACATAGCAATAGAAGCCGAGACAGTTCAGTAATTTGCCAGAGGCCACACACAGGTCTGCGGCCGAGGTGGGATTGGAATTCGGGTCTGTCTGACTCCACAGCTGGGCTCCTCCCACATCACCTCAGGAAGAGCCACCATGTGATGCAGAAGGTCCAAACCCACCAGGGCACTGAGCAGAGGGACTTTCTGAACCTGCCTGCCCTCTGCCCACTGGGCCCACTCTATGCTGCTTTACTGGCCTGGCTTGAATACGTGGGTCCTGTTTCCAGCCTTACCCTAGGCAGGCCCAGGTAGAGAACATCACCATGGTAACCCTTGTTTCTGAGGGGCAGCATATTGCTCTGGAAAAAATGATACCTTGGTTCCCAACACTTAGAGCTCTGCAGGTCTGTGGGACGAGTTTAATTGGCACTGTTCGCAGTTGGCTCAGCAGAGACACTTCTTGGCTTTATGTCCCTGATGTGGTATCCAGGATACCAGGAAACATGATGTGTTTGCTCCTAGAGAAGAGGGAGAAAGGGAGGCCGGGTGTCTCGTCTGCATTGGCTCCAGGCTGTCTGATGAGAGGGGCTGGCAGGGCTGGTGCTCTGGCTGGGCTACCGGGTCACCTGGGCTGTGCCCCACCTGTGTCCTCAGATGAGGGTCACCTGGGCTATGTCCCACCTGCATTTCCCCCTACCCCAATTAGAGTCAGTTGGGCTGTGTCCCACCTGTGTCCCAGATGAGGGTTGCCTCCCACCACTACCACCTGTTCCATGTTGAAAACCTGGCATGACCTTGTTCTCTTTCCACTGGCCCCCAGTAGGTAGAGAATAAAGGGGTGGCCTCAAGCGTTTGAAAGATGGCTATGAGCCATTGCTGGCTGGTCAGCCAGCGCCATTCCCCTTTCTTTCTTCCTGAAAGTGTCTGCATGGTAACCTCATTCCCTTTACAGGTGCTCACGCTCCCAGGCTCCCTGGCAGCCCAGGTGGCCAGGAGACAGAGCTTTGGCCAATGAGATGTTACGGGGTGTCTCCCAGGAGGCTTCTGTGGAATCTGTTCCCTTCCTAGTAAAAGCAGCAGACCGGGGGAAAGAGCCCCTTTCTACCTCCTCTTCAGGATCACTCATGTGAAGACCTGCTATTTGCGGCCACCTCGAGGCTGGGAGAATGGTAGACACTGACCAAGCCTGCTGATACGATGGAGCTACAAACCGCCCTGCATGCACCCACCGACAGACTCTTGCTTTGTGACATAATGAAATGCCTCTTCTTGCCTGAGCCCTCGCTACCCACAGTGCAACCCCACATCAGCAGGTTCAGTATCGCCTGGGAGCTGGTTAGAAATGCGGACTCCCAGGCCCCTCCCCAGACCCACTGAGTCAGAATATACATTGAAGAATGATCCCCAAGTGATTGTGTGCATAGAAAAGTGTGAGAAACACTGACCAGAGAGAGAGAGTGGGAGAGAGAGAGAGAAATATAAACGCCTTGTAAGAACTGCCTTTTTCTGGAGATTCATTTTCTCGGCGGTATTTTTGTGTTTATGCCTCTTTGAGCTAGGAACAATGAAGTCTTAATTCTATTTAAAAGGAAGACAAAGCTTCCCCCAACCCAACCTCTCCCTATCTAGCTGCAGGAGTGGCCATGGGGTTGCCAGCAGGTCCACAGGGATGGCTGCGGGCGGAGGCGGTGCTGGCCCCTGGCTCCTTCCTCTTAGAGACAGATCTGCCCTCGTTGCCTCTGAAGTCTGGGCTTTAAGTCTAGAAAGATTAAAACCAGCGTGTTCAAAGCAGAGCCCTGAAAAATAAAACGTGTTGCCGGAGGCTTTTTCTTTCAAAAAGTTTGTTTCCCTCCTCAGACGAGCCATCAGGATGCTTGGAGGAGAAAACTCATTGTGAACTTGAGCTTCAAGGAACTGTCAGGAGATTTTGTGGAAAAAGGGAGTTCTTTCTTAAGGAAGCGTGTTTGGTTCCTGGAAGTACACAAAGAGCTCAAATCCCACTGTATTTTCTCTTCCCAACGCCAGGATTTTAGCGTGTGTGTGTGTGTGCGCGCGCGTGAGTGTGTGTGCATGTGCGAGTGTGTGTTTCCCCTTCTAACAGGGCTGAGAGCGGGAGAAGCATCCTAGCTGACAGAAGTTTGGGGGTGGAGGCATCTCAGAGCTGTAGAAGTCAGAAGGGTTTCCGGCTGTTAGAGCAGGAAGGAAGGCACCTCAGCTGCTAGGTCAACGCCTTCCTCCCCAACCCTCCCTGCAGAAGGGAAGCCTGGGGCTCCGAGGGAACCAGGGCTCTCCTGAGATCCTATGGCTGCAAGTGGCAGCATCAGGTCCAGAATCCAAGTGCAGGCTCCTTTCTCCACCTGCTAGCACCCCCGCACACACCCCTGAGTTATCAGGAGAGGAACTTGGGGCTCACCTGGATTCCCCTTTATTTTGTCAGGGAGGCTGCCCAGAAAGGGGGCATTGCTGGCAAAGTTCTCAACTTTGCCTCCTTCTAGCTGTCATTGACCTCCCCGAGCCTCAGTTTTGTCACCCCATTGAGATGGAGGTAACAAAGGAGTCGACCTTTACTGCCTTCCTCACCCCACCTTCTAGGGAGTAGCTTTTGTCTGCCGTGCTTGAAAGCATGGTTTTCTCCCTGGTGAATGAGGCGAAGAGTCTAGAAGCAGAACTGAAGAAGCCAAGGGAAGGGACTTGATTACTACCTACTAGAGGAAGAGAGAGATCTGGTGGGCAGGGGGCCGTGGAGCCGAGATCCAGGGGGTGGGAGTATGGGGAGAAAGAGAGAGAAGGAAAAAGTGCAGCTGGGTGTGAGACTCGAGGAGAGTGTAGAGGATGTTTTAAAGAAACATGAGTGTCCTATGATGTAACTCACCCCGGAGGCAAGACCTTTAGTCAGGACCCTTCCCGCACTCCGTGTACCCAGAGCCATGTGTTCCAGAAAGAGGAGCAACTTTAAGCCAACTCTCTCTTGGCATTCTTGGGAACGGGATGCAGGGAGCAGAGTGGGGCTAGGGGGATCACAGAGAAAGATGGAGAGTCAACTCAAAGATGCATTATTGACTGCAAAAGGCAGCTAGCTGCCCAGTCCTGCAGACTCTCAAAGAAATCTATGGAATATGTCTTAGAACTGTCTACCCAACGAACAGAGTGGGAAACACTGTTAGCTTCTGACCCCATTGGTCAAGAGTGTCCCATAAGGTGTTAATTTGCAAGTTGGGAGGGAGGGCTCTCCAGTTAGCATAAATCCTGCTCAGAGCTGGTTGCTGTAGCAAAGGTGGAGTGAGCAGAGGGCTGAGGGAACTCTGGAGGGGTGCACAACAGCAGTGCAATACTGGCCCCCACCACACACAAGAGGGTGCCTGCAACGGGGCCTCTTGACCTTGCACTTGCATAACCAAGGACTGAGGCTGGACCGAGCACAGACAAAGACGATTGGCTTCCAGGTGGCCGCCATCTCTGCCTGTCCTTTTGCACAGTTTCACCTGTGCCTTCCTAGACTCACGTAGTCTCTAATTTAATTAACACTTGTCACCCTATTAAAAGAAACCTCAGACTTATGCTCTCTATATAGTCCTAAACCCTGATTTTTTAAATTTAATATTACAGCATAAGTATTTTTCATGTTCTGTCAAGCTCCTGTGAATTTCATCATCGGTGGCTGCCTGACGTCCTTGCGTGGCACACAGCTGGGGAACGGCGTTGCTACTCCACACGACACCACGGTGGACATCTTTTTGCAGAAAGTATCTTACTCTCCCATTTAACTGGTGAGTCTTATATGGTCATCCTACTTCTATTTATTTAAAACGATGTAGTGGGAGGACTTGACAAGCATAATTGTCCCTTTTTGATGAAGTCTAATTTATCAGTTTTTGCAAATGTTGCTTTTTTATGAGTTTGGGGCTGCCCTCCCCTATGTGGAGGGGTAGGAAAGGAGCCAAAAGCCTCTCACAATATAGGAGACCCTCAGGTTTGACAATTCCCAGAAGGACCACAGCACATGCTGAAAGCTGTTGTACTTGTGGTCACGGTGTATTACAGGGAAAGGACAGAGATTAAACCCAGCCAAGGGGGGAGGCATGTGGGGCAGAGCGCAGGGGGCACAGATCTCCCAGGTGTCCTCTCCCAGGGGAGTCAGGGACTTCTGTAGCGACGTGGATAACACACGTAAAATTTTGCCGACCAGGGCAGCTCACCCGATGCTTGGGGTCCAGAGTTTTTACTGGAGCTTGGTCACGTTGACTTGGTTGATTGCTCATGGCTGGCCTCTGTCTGCAGCCCCTCTGGAGGTCTAGCTGATAAGGCATGGCCCAAAGACAGCGCCCCCCCCCCCCCAGAAATCACATGGTTAGACTATCCAGTGTGGTCCAAGGCCCCCAGTAAACAAAGACAATTATCAGGCAAGACATTCCAAGGGCTTAGAGGTCACCTCCTAGGGGTCAAGGACAAAGGCCAGACCTTTCTTTGGGTGACGTTAACTCCTTACAACACAGTCCCTGAGTACATACGTGACCGTGAGCACACAGACCTACACAGAGACATCCAGGAATGGAAGCTCCCTAAGTTCTGGGTTGCTCGAGGAGTCAGTTCCCAAAGACTTCTCCTCCCCTCCCTTCCTCCTTTCTTAACTACAAATAGACACCTGAAGTCCTTCCCCACCCCCCCCCCAACCCCGGTCCCTTCCCACTGGCAGTCTCTTTGCCAGTCAGTGGTGGCAGTCAGTCCCTTCCCTAAGTTTCGGGGAGCCTCCCTGACTGGTGTCTTAGTCCGTTCGGACTCTATAAGGAAGTGCCACAGACCGGGTGGTCTATAAACAACAGAAATGTATTTCTCACAGAGTCGGAGGCTGGTAGCCTGAGGTCAAGGTGCCCGCGTGGCTGAGCTCTGGTGAGGGCCCTGTTCCGCCCTGTACACAGTCACCTTCTTGTGTCATCCCAGTGAAAGCGGAGAGCAGATAAGGGAAGCCAGAAGGCACTAATCCCATTCCTGGGGGCTCCCCCCTCATGACCTCATCTAATCCCAATGACCTCCCAAGGCCCCACCTCCTCATACCATCACATTGGGGGGTAGGGTTTCGACATACGAATTTGGGGGACACAAACATTCAGCCCTTCACAACTGAGGTGGCTATTGGTCCATACTCTCTGTTGGGGTTACCTGTGGTCAAATTGTCCCCACAGATATGGCTGGACACTCAAGCCTGGGCCACAAACCAGGACATTACGGCACATGCAGTGTGGGTAAGTTCCCCTCCCTGGGCACCGATCTGCGGCTGTGGGGATGAAAGATTTATGAGCTCATTACCAATTGCTGGTGACTTCCTGGGCCACTTATTTTCTGTCACTGTGAAAGGATGGTGATAATCGAACGTCAAACCAACCAATTAAAATGCATGTCCGGAAATGCCATTGTGAAATATTTGGGGAGCGTTCTTTCAGTGACTCGTTGGATCCACTCTTCGGATGTCTTTTTTCCCTGCTTTGACCAAAACAGGGAAATTAAAAGCACATGGCAGCTCTCAGGCATGTTTTGAATTTTCAAATCCCAGCTCCCAACCGGAGGCCCGAGTGGCCGTCACCCTGTTTCTGGGCTTGGCATCTCCTGGGTGTGTGCACGCGGAGGTTCTGATGGCCTGGAAGGCCAGGGCTTCCTGAAGGAGCGCCAGGCGGCGAGCTCCAGGCGTCCCGCGGAGGTGCCCGCAGGAAGCGAGCTCCGGGCCGGCGGGCGGGGGGAGGCCCGCGTTCCTTTGGAGCGTTTCAGGCCCAAGATAAGCTGCCGTGGAGCCCCGGGCTGCTGGCAGCAGGGGCGCCCGGTTGTTTTGACTGCTGACAGAGTCAAACTGGAGAAGGGCCTCTAGTTCAGGAGGCGCCGCGAGCAGACGAGGCCTCAGTCGGTCCGCAGCCGGGGGGCAGGTCTGGAGGCAGCGAGGGGCTGCGGGGAGGAGTCCGCGCGGCCTTAAGAGGACCCCGGGGGGCGCGGGCACGGGGTTTTCTCGAGAAAGTTAAAGCCACCCACTGTTTAGTTGAAGCCTGCCTTTTCGGTGCGTTTCGTTTATCTGGGGTGAGAGGGCGCCGGGGTGGGAGCCGTGCTGGAGAGAGGGGCCCAGGGACCCCGGGCTCCTCGGAGGAGTTGGGCATCCCAGGAAAGACGGCTGCGGCGGGAGGGGCAGCGCGTGGGCCCGAGCAGCTGGTGCGGGGCTGGGGGTGGGGGAGAATGGGGTGAAAGGGGGATGTTTGTCGAGTCAAGGCAAACCAAGGAGGCCCCGCTGCAGGGGAGCAGGACCCGGTGGTCGGGCATGTGTGTCCCCACATCTTGCCCTTGCTAGCCATTACAGATGGGGTACGGGGTGTGGGTGAGAGGCAGCAGGGGGAGGGGTGTGCAGGGCGGGGTGCACACTCGCCCTGGCAGGGCCCCTTGCCTCTCTGGACTGTCACCAAAGCAGGAGCTCTTAGGTGGCAGGTCACTTGGAGGTGGCCATTTCCAGATACTCTTGCGGAAGGCTGAGGAACGTTTCCCAGCAGGAGTAGAGGTGGGGAGGGGTAAGCAACAGGCAGGACTTTGGCCAGAGCACTCACTTCAACCCAGGATCCAAAGGGAAGTGAAGCAGCTGGTCCAGGGGCATATGAGGCCTCTTCCAGGGTGGCCTCCCAGCTTTCCTCCTCCCAGACCTGTTGTCTGCTAGGTCTTTGGTTTACCTGGTCTCTGCTCACATGCAGTTGCTGTTCTGCAATTTCCCTTTTGTCAGGGACACTGGGGACTCTAACCCATAAAGCCACCCATGGGGCGACCAGGAAGCCCCCAGGTCCCAGAGGCTGAGTCAGCTCCATTCACTCTTATCTGCCAGGGCCCCAGCCCATTGGCTGCTCAGACCCCTCACTGGGGCCACCCATAAGCCATCACCCCTCCTGGCACTGCCTGCCCCACCCTATCATGTGTGGCAGCCGGCTTTCTCAGATCTCTTTACAAGGACCTCAAGATGTCTTCTGGCTTCAAGCCTGCTGGCTTCTGGAGGATTCCCCAGCCCAGCCTCCAGTCCAGGGACCAGCTACAGGCTGCCTGTGCGAAGACCCCCTGCTGCACTCAGGACCACACGTGGCTTCCCAGGCACCCACTGGGGCATCCCCACATCCCAGTTACTGCTTACATGTAAGAAACCACCCCAGACTTAGTGGCATGAAACTACTTTTTTATGGTCACAGGTTCTGTGGGCCAGGAATCTGGAAAGAAGTCAGTGGGGATGGCTTGTCTTGATTTCCTGATTTCCAGGAAGACCCAAATGCTGTGTTATCTTGGGCAAGGTGCTTCACCTCTCTGTGTCCCGATTTCCTCATCTAAAAAGTGAGGATGATATTCGTACTTACAGGATCATGGGGAAGAGTAAATGACTTAATGGTGTGTAAAGGGTTTAGAATGGTGCCCGGCATGTGCCAAGTGCTGTGTAAGTTTTTGCTCTTCTGATGGTTTGTTAGAATTAGCTAATTCAATTCTCACAGCAGGTACTGTTATCAAGCCCATTTCTGGATGTGGACACTGAGGCACTTTTTGCTAGTCTAGTGTTCTTGAAGTGTGGAGCACATGAGGCTGCCAGAGAAGGAGACGAAGGAAGAGGAGAGTCAGTCCTTCCTGTAAAGGGAGCAGCCTTTGCAAAGGCCCAGTGGTGAGCTAGAGCACGGGGTAGGTAAGGAGCTGTCTGTGGAGTGTGGCTGGAGCCTGGAAATCCAGAGGGAGCAGTGGTGAGGAGGAGGGGAGAGAGTTGGCAGAGCTGGGTGAGGCCCACGGGCCCCCAACAGAGGAGCGTTTGCTGGGTTCCTGTCGTGTGCTTGGCCCTGCAGTGGGTCTAAGAATTTAAGGAGTGAGTCTGTCCCCTCCCTGAGAGGCTCTATCAATTAGAGTGCATTTGCCTGGTACTCAGGAAACCTGAACAGCAATGACTTAAGGAAGTAAAGGGGTTTTCCTCACATAACATTAAATCTGGAGTCAGGCAGTACGGGGTTGATGCAGCAGCTCAGAAGCCAGTGGGGGCTCCATCCTCTTCCTGTCTTCCTGCTCTGCCTCACGGTTTAAGTCCATGCAGTTTTAGTCCTCATGCTTGCAATATGGCTGCTGTACCTGCAGACATCACATTCATGTTCCAGGCACACACACACACAAAAGACAAAGAGTAAAGGGCAAAACCAAAATGGAGCTAGGTGGCTGGGTCCATCCCCTTCAAGAAAGCTTTTCGGAAAGCCAGACCATGTTGCAGGGCCAGCCTAATTGCAAGAGAATCCAGGCCGTGCTACCCTTTTGTCCACTGCCCTGGACAAAGCGGATGCTCTCTGCATTCTGAAGAAGGGGAGAATGGGTGTTTGGGAGGTAACCAGCAGTGTCTGTCACGGGAGTCCAGCTTAAGGGAGAGAGACATGTGAACAGATGATTTCAATAAACCCTGGTTGCTGCCACAGAAGAGGTAAGCCGAGGGCATGGGGCCAGCAGGGGGCATCTGACCCAGGGAGGGCTCCTCAGAGAAGGTGGTGTCTGGATTGAGTGTTAGAGACAATAGGAGCGAGCAGAGGAAGAAGAGTGGAAGGCAGAGGGAACAGCACCCTTGCTGCAAGACGGGTCACTGGAAGAGCAGGTCAGTGTTCCCAGCTCTTCACTGCCCCTTGGTTTGGGGGTTGGCTGGTGACTTGTTTTGGACAGTGGGACATTAAGACCATGGCACAGGCACTGCTGGCCTTGCCCTCTGGCCCTCTTGTGATCCACCATAAGAAAGCCATGTCCTGGGGAGCTTCTAGAAAAGGGGGTGAGCTTGGAATGTATGATCTCTGGGCCCTTCCAGCCCTGAAATCCTGCTATGCTTTTAAAGCATTATGTGCATACACATATTACTGGGATTTCTTTGGGAATCAATGAAAACAGGGCATTTTTGCCTAATGCATAGATCTTGGAGCCTAATTTTGACTGTGTTATTATGATTTGTTATGGTTCTATCTTTAAGCTCCACAAATTTTGTTTACCACTATATCCGTAGTTTCTAGAAGAGAGCCTTGACACTTAGCAGGTTGTCAACAAGTATTTGATGAATGAATGAATGAAGGATGAATGGCTCAGAGTCTAGAAGAGGAGCTAACAGGTAAACAGAAGATGAACACATGGTGAGGCAAGTGCGGTGGATGGAGAAGCGCATAGGGTTGCAGGACCCACAAGTTCTACCTTGAAACACACACGAGAGAGGCTTGGGAGATGCCAGTTTCTCTGGATGTGCACTACTTACAAATATTTTGGCATAGACAGAAGATTTCCAAAGAATGTTTACAAATTAGAGTGTTTCTGAAATGTATGCATTTCAATTAAATTCACTGTATTATGTGAAATCGTTGTTGAAGACACCATCTCTCTCTGTACACTAATTAGCAATCAAAATGCCGATGTGTTTTGCAGATTTAGCAGAGGCTGCAAAGATAATCTTCGATTCACTGGAAAACAAAATTAATAGATGTGTGAGATTCTTTCTAATAATCTCCACTTCTAAATGAGCTCTGGAAACTTGCCGAAGAACTAGGCAAGCATTCAAGCCTGACTTCTCGGATTTTTTTAATTGATGCTGTTTTTGTGTGCTAGAGATTACTCTGAATTGAGAAAAAGAGCCAGCGGATAGGACTTCCAAGTCTCCCCCTGCTAATCCTTATGTGTGAGGCAGTGGAAAAAAACACCAGATTTGGGGCTTCAATTGGTTCCAGGGGCCACATCTTCCTCCCACCCCTCTGTGGGTGGTAGGCTTCTGCAGGCCAGGAACCCTGCCCAGCTGAGCTTGAGGTTACCAGCTCAAGCACAGTGCTGGGCTGTATACAGCAGGTGCTCATTGGCATATGTGGAATGGATACGTTAATGAATTGCTATGGGAACTGGAACCCCTAACCTTTAATAAAATGTGTCAAACTTAGAGAACAGTTGAAAACTTGTACCCTTCATGTAGATTTGATTTAGCATTTTGCCATATTTGATTGCCTTCTCTCTGTATGACTGTGTCTGTGTCTATATCTATACATATCTACCTACTGTATATATGTTGTGTATACCTGCACACATACATACACATGTATCATTTGAAAATAAATTCTGACCGGTAGGATATTTCACACCTAAATCCTAACCCATCGCTACAAATCTCCTGAGAACAAAGATAGTTTCTCATTTCACCACAATATTCTTGTTACATTTTGAAAAATAACAATTATTTTAACTATATAATATCCGGTCTATGCTCGTATCTCCCCAACTGTCATCAGAAGGTGTTTTACAGCTATTTCTTAAAAATTGGGATCCAATTCAGGCACAGATATGGCATTTGGTTGTTATGTCTCTAACTCTTTTGAATCTAGAGTGG